TGCCCGGCAACAACGTAACAAGGGAATACGAGGTCCTGGAACAGGTGTGCACGGCGGGAGTGGGTGAGTAGATGTGGATGTGGATGGGGTGTGGGGAAGTAACGTCAACATATTGTGGCTTATATCATATCCTACACGCACACAGGGCTCATGTGGAAGGTCTACAATGGCTACAAGAAGAGCACAAAGCAGGAAGTGTCTGTTTTTGTCTTCGAGAAGAAGGTCCTGGAACGCTGGTCCAAGGACGACAGAGAGACTATGTTGGAGACACTGCGACGAGGCGTGCAGCAGCTGACCAAAATCCGACATCCGCATGTGCTGACCGTGCAGCACCCGCTCGAGGAGAGTCGCGATTCGCTGGCTTTTGCCACGGAGCCGGTTTTCGCGTCCCTGTCGAATGTCGTCGGCGATTCCGTGCGCTCCGAGAAGAAGCTGTACGATGTGGAAATTCGACACGGTCTGCTGCAGCTTTTCGACGGCCTGCAGTTCCTACACAACGACGCCAAAATTGTTCACCGCAACATCAGCGCCGAGACGATTGTGATCAACAAGAATCGCAGCTGGAAGTTGTTTGGCTTCGATTTTTGCATAGCCAATCAGCCGGCAACGGATGGCACACCACATTGGCCTTGCCGGGAGTACACCACATCGATGCATGTTTTGGCGCAGCCGAGTCTGGAGTACACGGCGCCAGAGCTGGCCCTTAACAGTGTGAACACCCCGGACAGTGATCTCTTTTCCTTGGGTTTGTTCACTGAATGATCGCTATGGCATTGCTTTAATCTCTTTGATTCCTTTCAGGCGTGCTCATCTTTACCATTTACGCGGGCAAGCCTTTGAAAATGTTCGGCAGCGACTACAGTGGCTTCAGGAGATACTGCAACGAATTGAACCAGCGCAAATATCCAGCCATGAACACAATTCCCAATGAGCTGACGGAGAGTCTGAAAGCGCTGCTGCATCCCAGCGCCAGTCTGCGGCCCAAACTGCACGAGCTTAAGCAGATCGTATACTTCCAGGATGTAGGCGTGAAGACGCTCAGTTATCTGGACTCGCTCTACCAGTGGGACAATCTGCAAAAGTCCAAGTTCTACAAGGGTCTGCCGCAAATCATTCCGACGCTGCCGCACCGCGTGAATCTCCACTCAATTCTGCCATATTTGGTCAAGGAATTTGTCAACTCGCCAATGATTCCGTTTGTGCTGCCCAATGTCCTCCTGATAGCCGAGATGAGCAGCCAGCGGGAGTACTGCGACCACATACTGCCGCACCTGAAGCCCATCTTCAAGCTGACGGATCCCATACAGATTCTGTTGATATTCATGCAGAAAATGGATCTCCTGCTGAAACTCACACCCGCAGAAGAAGTGAAGCAAAGTGTCCTGCCGCTGCTGTATCGATCTTTGGAGTGCGACATGCCGCAGATCCAGGAACTCTGTCTGGCCGTCTTGCCCACATTCTCCACGCTGATCGACTACAATGCCATGAAGAACTCGGTGCTGCCACGCATCAAGAAGCTTTGCCTGCTGAGCAGCAATGTCTCGGTAAAGGTCAACTGTCTGATATCCATAGGAAAGCTGCTGGAGAACCTCGACAAGTGGTTGGTGCTGGATGAGATTCTGCCTTTCCTGCAGCAAATACAAAGCCGCGAGCCGGCCATTATCATGGGCATCATAGGTGAGAGTCCAGTGAAGACGCCAAACATGTTGCCATAACTTACTTTCTTCGTCGTTTCCCAAGGAATCTATAAAATTGCCATGACCAACACGAAGCTGGGAATAACCAAGGATGTCATGGCACACAAGTGCGTGCCATTTCTAGTGCCTCTCAGCGTGGAGAATGGCCTGACCATTGCCCAATTCAATACTATAATAGCATTGATCAAGGAGATGTTGGGCCGTGTGGAGCAAGAACAGCGCGAAAAGTTACAGCAACTTTCCACCATCCAGCGAGACAATAAGTAAGACCCGAGGCCAGAGCTCTTTCTTTCGAATGCTTTTATTGAGATTCATTATTATGATTTACAGACCCAAAGATGCTTCCGAGATATTGGCTAACGAACTCGAGAGCAGCACAATTTCCCCTAGCGCCAGCAATGGCAACAAGAACAACGATGACATGTTCTCCGGCTTTACAGTGGGTCAGCCACAAGGCCTCCCAGCTGCCAGCACCTTAGCGCCCATGAGGACCAGAGAACAGCTCAAGTAGGATTCAGCCGACCAGAATGAAGCAGAGAAAACTCAAGAACCCACTTTGCTATTCCAGAATATCGCACAACGCAATGAACATACCAGCCGTGGCCCCCGCACTGCCCGCAACATCCACAGCACCCAAAGGAGTAGCAACAGCAGCAGGATCCTCTAAGCCTGACATTCTGTCCTCGCTGATGCAGAGCAACCTGAGCAGTCTGGCACCAGCTCCCAGTCCTAACAATGGCTGGCACAGTGCCAATCCGCTGGTGATGAACCATCAGCTCGCATCACCGCAGGCCAGCAACAATAACTTCTCATCGCTGGATGACCTGGATCCCTTTGGAAGTGGCAGTGGTAGTGGCAACAGCAGCGGTGGTGCCCCCAAGCCAAACAATACGAACGGTGCCAATATGTACACGTTGCAGCAGCCACACGTGAACTATATCTATCCAACGGGCTACAGCTTGAACAGCATTCAGCAGCAGCAACAGCAGCAGAGTCTGAGCATGAACAAGGCCATGGCGCCACCACAAACACTCGTGCCGCAGACGCAGACGGTGATGCAGGGAACTGATAACCAGAACATCAATGCACTCTCCCAGCAGGATATACTTAACTTTTTGAACTAGACACAGTCGTAGCCAAATTAACCAATTCCATATATCTAATATACAGCAATTTACCTGTACGAATGTGTCTCATATGTGGGTCCGTGTGAGTGTGAGTGTTAGTGTCTGTTTGGAACGTTTTAACTTATATGTATTATGTAGATTTTAACGCAGGTCAGGTCCTATTGGTCCGGTCCCCTGTTCGTTGACACATTCCGCAACGCAACCGATATCAAATGTGAAACGAATGCATGTAGCATTAATTATAGTGTACGTATTATTATTGTTAGCTAGACAAAAAGCCAACCAACTATCCATGTACTTGTCCCCCCGGTGCATTGTGCAATTGCTCCTTAACTATATTTTACAAAATATAATATATTAATTCAACAGAATTCGATTTGTACTTTTCTTTCCCCTTTAATGTAAAGAGTATCAATTATTAGGCAATCATTTTTACCACCACCAATTGGCACCAAAAGTTTTGTTTTTCTCATACGGATTCTTTATACGTAGCAGATAATTATTTAAGCTCGATCCCAAGTACAAGTACCCATCGAGTTCCAAGACATGAGAAATTCCAGAAGCCGTCGAATCGAAGCCGTGTAACGAGTCCACTATCTTGCCATTCCAGTTCACGCGCACCACAGTGGTTCTTCTGGGGCTCTGCATCTGAATATACTTGATGAAGACACGAAAAACCACAGGGTAAACCTTGTTGGAGTATAAACTGTTAAGGAAGCGCAAGGGAAAAATCAGCATGGCCAGCAATCGAGCTATACAGTTGCGTAACAGCGGATTAGGGGCCAAAATGGCAAATAAATTTGACTTCCGGTTGTCTACACTAATGACCAATGGCACCCATATGCCCTCGGCATCGGGGGTCAGGTTATCCGGCAAACCGGGCAGACCATCCACAAAGATCTCGCTCTGACCAGCCTTGGGTCCTTTGAGGTAAAACTTGGTCAGGCACATGGCCGCTGTCTCGGCCACGACAATAAAGTCCTCATCAGGGCTCAGGGCCACACCATTCGCCAAAAATAGCCCATCCAAAAGAACATCGATTACATTGTTGGCTCGATTATATCTGAAAAGGCTGAAAGAGAAGACCATCAATAGCTGTTGACTGAGTTAGCTCTTCCTTCCATATGCACTCACCGGCCCGAGGGATTGGCAACGACAGCATACAGCAGGTCGTCCGACGTGGAGTCGGTCCAGTAGATGTCCCCTTGACTACTGACTGCCACACCGTTGAAGAGCTTGCCTGGGCGATTCACAGTCTGACCTGGCAGCTCCTGCTGTGTTGACACCAGCAATGACTTATTGTTCGTGTCCAGATCCACTTCCCATATGCCTAAGAAGCCATCAGCCACAATCAGATTGTTTCCTTGCGAGTCAAAAGCCAGGCCCAAGGGTAGTCCGCAGGGAGAAAACTGGAATATGTCATCTGAAAGAGGGGAAACCCCTATAATGGAGATCTCTTTTACTGCTGCTTTGCCTACCACAGGGCCGCCCAGTCTTTGCAAAATACGCAATTTGTCCATCTTTACTTCCATCCAATTTTATCCTGGCTAAATTTCCGCCCCGCAGACCTGTGTAGATTTCATTATTGTGCGCTATGAGACACTCGGGGCAAAAAACGCGACCCTCTAGGAGACGTTCAGCTCCATCCAGGCGATGGTTTGGCTCTAGAGCACCTTCCAGTTCTTTTGGTTTGGTTATCCTTCACATATACAAGACATATATGAAGTAGTTCCGATCTACATATATCTTACAAATGTACAACTTACGAGAATTTTGTGAAGGGGAATGTCGTTCTAGGCGACAATCCGGGTAGATATAAGATGACCAGCGCTATAATTGTAATGTTCTTAAATGCCCTTCTCAATGTGATCACCATGGCGTCAAATACCTATTATAAATAGGTCCGTACATATAAACATATGTAGAAAATTAAAAATTAAGAACAGAATAAACATACGAATGAATTCGAATTTTGTATGGGCTACTGAGAAATATGACTTATAAGGAAAAGGAAATACATCCTGGTTAGATTTCACTTGAATTATTACAATAATTTTTCTACCGAATCTAAATATGATATATAGTTACAGTTTTCCAAGTTTCGTTTGCTTTGTTGCATCTTTTCCCAGAATTCAGCTGTCGGATTAAATCCGATGCTTCAAAAGTAAACAAACCATTTTCATATTTATTGATTTATGTATTATTGGCAGATGCAGAGCGTGCTTAATCATGATTATTCGATATAGTCTTATTTAAAGATTTCCACTTTGTACTACTACTTCCATAACAGCTTTGATTCCCGACTTAGCCTAATGAGAGGAGATATCACGATCAAAGTAGCTAATCTCTTGCTAAACTATATTCATCCCAGATCTAAAACAATTCTAAATGCCAGGCATAAAACAGTGCGACTAACTAACAAGCCCCCTTTTGGGCGGGTATCCATCCACCATGAATCCCCTATTTCGTTCTAGTCCTAGTCCCCTAACAATTAGTTAAAAGCTAAAAGCTAATTAACAATACTGAGTCGTAGCTCAGGTCTCTACCAGAATGTGCGTAAACAGACTGTGCATCCGTCGTTCCACCTCCTTGTAGACCAGCGAGCTAAGTCCATCCATGAATCGGCGCAATTTAGCGGCTTGAAGGAGTACCCGACGATGCTCATTGGGATTCTCCGGTTTGTGCTTCAACATCGTGTACTCGCTGTACTCCGGAGCGAAGCGGCAGATACCAATTCCCTCGTCCATTATACGCACATAGAGATCGTCGTCTTCACCGCCCCAGCCATGGTAGACATTGGACATTCCATTTATCTGTTTAAACTGCAAGGTAGTTATGGCCACCACACCGCCAAACAGGCCTTGGTAAGGCAGGTGGAAGCGCCAGTGGTCCAACGCCGGGCACATGTGTCGAGGCGTCTCCACACAGGCATACATCTGCCCCGAGTTTAGCGGCATGAGGTCCACGTCATGCAGGATGAGGCACGGAAAACCGTACTCGGCCGCCACCTTGGCCCCGATGTTGAGGAGCATGGCTCGGTTGAATGGCTTTTGGTCGTACTGCTCGACCAGAAAAATTCGATAATGGATCAGTTGCTGGCGCAGATAGTTGTGCATGTAGGTGAGGAAGGCGCGCAGCTGCTTCTCCCGCTGGCGATAGGGCACAATAATGGCGGTGCTGTACCGAGCCTGACACTGCTCCGGCCTGAATTCCCCTCCTGGCCAGATCTCCTCCGCATGGTGGACGGTCTCGTGGTAGTAGGCGCTGCTGTACAAAAATCTGTTGTTAGCAATGATGTCCGTGTAGCTACATTCGAATGTTTGCTGCAAGGAGACATTTAGCGTGACCTGCGGGAGCAGTGCACCCTCTATGTGGGCGCCATCGATGTAGTCGTAGTGGGACGCAAAGCGGAAAGGCAGCGCCAAGTACACGATGAGCGTAACGATTCCAATGGTCTTCAGCAAGTCATAAATGTGGAGTCGATACGGGATCCGTACAAACATTATGTTGGAGCGGGATCTGGACGCGAACTCCCACAAAACAGTAACACATATCCGTTGAATTCTTAAGAAATTGAATATATATAGTTGGTTATCAGTGCTGCCAAGTTTTTATCAGAAAAAAGCTGTTTCTAACTTGGAGAAAACGAGAAAAAAAAGCTGAAAATTTTCACACAAAAAAAAAAACCTAAATAATGGCGTTATACATTTTTTAACAAAGTGATATTTAATATGTATTTTATATAATTTTCATTAGTTCATCCAGCACTGTGGGGGTATTGTGATTCGTATTCGTAAACTGTACCTTACTTGTTTATTTTATCTTTTCATCCGCACGCAATCGTCGCTTAGAAAAAGTGAACTCAACTAAAGGAGAGAGAAGCAAAGCAATGATGAACCGACCACATTTTCCTACTTCTTATGTAGCCGGTGTCAGCATCAAAAAATGCTGAAAAAAAGCCTATACCTTTATAAAAAATCCAAAATTCCCGCTTCCCGCAATTCACAAATATTTCCCGCATATGGTCTTCAAAAAAAGCCAGATCTGCGGAAAAAAAGCGTAATCGACAGCACTGCTGGTTATGCAGACAAGGCCAGGGCTGCAAAACCACTGAAATAATCAAAGCATGCTTTTGTTGTTGTATAGGATGTCTCCACAATAAGATTTATCGTTAAGTGAAAATACTTGAGATAAAACGATTGCCAATTCCTAACTCAATAAACAGATAAGGCGCTTAATTTCGTAAAACTGATAAGATACATTCACATTGGGATGGACTTTTTAGACATCCGACCGTTAAACTCTTAAAGGAATTTCTTATTAACTTAAAGTCCAAATTGCATCTGAAAAGTGTAACAAAAGATCATCTCTGTTGCTGCAGCGCCACAAGTTTGATTAGAAATCCAAACTAGCTCATATATTTTACTGGCTCACACTAAAACGCTATCTCTGTCTAAGTCTGTCGACTTTCAGACTAAGAGCTGATAATCCAATCTACACTACAAAACTGCAACATTAGTGGTCGTAGCCGCCTCCCAGCTTTCGATGTGCTGATGCACTGTTTGATATAACACTTGAGATAAAACGATTGCCAATTACTAAATCAATAAACAGATAAGGCACTTAAGTTCTTAAAACTGATAGGATACATTCACATTGGGAAGGAGTTATTGGACATCCGACCATGAAGTGGGACAGTAAACCGAAAGTACTTTTAGGTATTCTTTATTAGCTTCAAGTCAAAATTGCGTCTGAAAAGTGTAACAATAGATCATCTCTGTTGCTGCGGCGCCACAAGTTTGATTAGAAATCCAAACTAGCTCATATATTTTACTGGCTCACACTAAAACGCTATCTCTGTCTAAGTCTGTCGACTTTCAGACTAAGAGCTGATAATCCAATCTACACTACAAAACTGCAACATTAGTGGTCGTAGCCGCCTCCCAGCTTTCGATGTGCTGATGCACTATTTGATATAACACTTGAGATAAAACGATTGCCAATTACTAAATCAATAAAAAGATTAGGCGCTTAAGTTCTTAAAACTGATAAGATACATTCACATTGGGATGAATTTATAAGACTTGCGACCATAAAGTGGGACAGTAGACAGAAATAGCATAAGAGACGAAACGCAAAATAAGTCATCGAAGCCGTCGCCCAGCTTTTATATATTTCACTCGCTCGCACTGTAACGCTATCTCTGTCTAAGTCTGTCGGCAACGTCTAGTGTCACACGGCCATAATAACAAAGAACTAGTTATTCGTGAACTACAAAAGATGGTTCATATTCCAGCTCTCCGGTAACGCTCTCAGACTTTCTTGTGCAGCCCTAGGCCGGCTGATACGTTTTTCGAGCCAAAATACGATTCAACAATTGTTTATTAGTTTAAGATGACTTCAATTATCAAGCTGCACACGATATCCGGGGCAATGGATGAGTCGCCGCCATGTTACATACTCCAGATTGACGATGTGCGAATTCTGTTAGACTGCGGATGGGACGAGAAATTTGATGCCAATTTCATAAAGGAACTCAAAAGGTGTGTGCGTGTGTGGAGGAAAGACGACAATAAATAAACAAAAAATTCTGAACACTCATTCCAGGCAAGTGCACACACTAGATGCTGTACTGCTCTCCCACCCAGATGCATATCATCTGGGCGCCCTGCCGTATCTGGTGGGAAAGCTTGGCCTTAATTGTCCCATTTTCGCCACGATACCAGTATTCAAGATGGGTCAGATGTTCATGTACGATCTGTACATGTCTCACTTCAACATGGGCGACTTTGATCTTTTCTCGCTGGACGATGTGGACACCGCCTTCGAGAAGATCACCCAGCTCAAGTACAACCAAACGGTTTCGTTAAAGGGAAAAGGTTATGGCATATCCATAACGCCTCTGAATGCTGGACATATGATTGGCGGCACCATTTGGAAGATAGTGAAGGTCGGCGAGGAGGACATTGTCTATGCCACCGACTTCAACCACAAGAAGGAGCGCCATCTGAGTGGCTGCGAGCTGGACCGACTGCAGCGACCGTCGCTGCTCATTACCGACGCCTACAATGCACAATACCAGCAGGCGCGTAGGCGTGCCCGAGATGAGAAGCTAATGACGAACATCCTGCAGACCGTGAGAAACAATGGCAATGTGCTCATAGCCGCGGACACGGCGGGTCGGATGCTGGAGCTGGCCCACATGTTGGATCAGCTGTGGAAAAACAAGGAGTCGGGCCTGATGGCCTACTCGCTGGCCTTGCTGAACAACGTCAGTTACAACGTGGTGGAGTTCGCCAAGTCACAGATCGAGTGGATGAGCGACAAGCTGACCAAAGCCTTCGAGGGAGCCCGCAACAATCCCTTCCAGTTCAAGCACATTCAACTGTGCCACACCCTGGCGGACGTGTACAAACTGCCAGCCGGCCCGAAGGTGGTGCTGGCCAGCACGCCGGACCTGGAGAGCGGTTTCACACGGGATCTCTTTATTCAGTGGGCCAGCAATGCCAACAATAGCATTATTCTGACCACCCGCACCTCTCCCGGCACCTTAGCCATGGAGCTGGTGGAGAACTATGCCCCGGGCCGGCAAATCGAGTTGGACGTACGGAGGCGCGTCGAACTGGAAGGCGCCGAACTTGAAGAGTATCTGCGCACACAAGGCGAGAAGATTAACCCGCTGATTGCCAAGCCAGAGCCGGAGGAGGAGAGCAGCTCCGAGTCCGAAGATGACATCGAGATGAGCGTCATCACGGGCAAACACGATATTGTCGTTCGTCCAGAGGGGCGTCATCATTCCGGCTTCTTTAAATCGAACAAACGTCACCATGTGATGTTCCCCTACCACGAGGAGAAGATCAAGTACGATGAGTACGGCGAGATCATCAATCTGGATGATTATCGCATTGCGGATATGAACAACACCGAATTCCCACCCGAGGAGCAGAACAAGGAAAATGTGAAGAAAGAGGAGCCTGGCATAGGCATTGAACAGCAGGCCAATGGTGCCATGGACACCGACGTCCAGCTGCTGGAGAAGCCCACTAAACTGATTAACCAACGCAAAACGATCGAAGTGAATGCACAAATCCAGCGGATCGACTTCGAGGGCCGCTCGGACGGGGAGTCCATGCTGAAAATTCTCTCGCAACTTCGACCGCGTCGCGTCATCGTTGTCCATGGGACGGAAGAGGGCACCCAGGTGGTGGCCAAACACTGCGAGCAGAATGTGGGCGCACGCGTGTTCACGCCGCAAAAGGGCGAGATCATCGATGTGACCACAGAGATTCACATCTACCAAGTGCGTCTGACCGAGGGTCTAGTCTCTCAGCTGCAGTTCCAGAAGGGCAAGGATGCAGAGGTGGCCTGGGTCGATGGCCGTCTGGGCATGCGTCTGAAAGCCATCGATGCTCCCCCCACTGCCATGGATGTGACGGTCGAGCAGGATGCCGCCATGCAGGAGGGGAAAACTCTCACACTGGAGACACTCGAGGAGGACGAGATTCCCGTCCACAATTCAGTGCTCATCAACGAGTTGAAGCTCTCGGATTTCAAGCAGATTCTCCTGCGAAACAACATCAACTCGGAGTTTTCGGGCGGTGTCCTCTGGTGCACCAATGGCACCTTGGCGCTGCGACGCGTTGATGCCGGCAAAGTGGCAATGGAGGGCTGCTTGTCGGAGGAATATTACAAGATCAGGGAGCTACTTTACGAGCAGTATGCGATCGTTTAAGATTAAAGTTTATTCTAATAGTATCTACTCCATTTTGTTGAAATTTGTATGGTACTTTTATTTTATTTACAAGTTTATAGAAATTGCGCCATGGGATCTTCAGCGCGTGGTCGCTTCCTTTTCCATTCCTCAATCTCGTCCTCGGTGGGCGCCTTCACATCGTACATGCTGTTGTATGGTCGCTTGCGATCGTCCAGGTCCTCTTGGATGTTCTTCTCTGTCGTCAACGCCTTCTCCTTGGCTTCCATTTCTTTTGTCTCCTTGCGTTTGCGCTGCTCCTTGGCCTTCCTTTTCTTTTCCCGCTTCTTGGACTTCTTTTTCGACTTTTTCTTCTCATGAACCTCTGGCTCTTCCTCCTCTGTGGATGATTCTGAACTGGGCGCAGAGTCCGCCTCGGAGGCGACCTTCTCTGGGGGTTCCTCTTGGACTCTGGTCTCGTTATCGGCGGATGTTTCCGGAGGCACTGCTGATACGGAGCTATTTGACTGCTGCTGATGGTCTGAATAGCCTTCCGGTTCCTGCATGCCCACGCAGTAGGAGTTCTTGATGAAGGACTTGCAACACTTGTAGCCCCAGCGGCCGGCATTCCAAAAGCTGCCCCACACTGTTGTGTGATTGTTGATGTACACGTCCTCCTCATAGATACTGCGCGCCTTGGGCTTCTCTACACCCTTGATGACCTTGCCGCTGCGCGAGTACTCAATGTACTCCTCGGTCTGGGCAAGCAGCAGCGACTTGGGCGGCACCTTCAGATGCTCTTCGCCACCATATTTCTCCACAATATGAGTTTTTGTCTGCAAGTAAAGAGGGAGCAAACCGTCTGCTGTGATATAAATAAACATATAAAATGGCAGGACTTACACTTGACTTGAACTGTTCTTTCTTCTGTTCGTATTCCTTTTGGAGTAGCTCCAGCTTTGTGGGCTCGGCCAGCAGATGGACATCCACTCCCTTGCCATGGGCCTCCCAGGCGAACAGTTGAGCGGTGGCTTGGGCTGTCGTGTCGCCAGAGAAGCGCACAAAGTTCTCGCCGGCAAACTCAGCTCTGGAAATGGAGATTATATTAGAGTCTGATTGATTGTCTGGTCAGGTGTTCTTGCAGCACTTACTCCTCCGCAGGCGTTGCAGGATTCGGATTGTCACGCATAGAGCGGGTCTTGGGGTCATAGTAGGCGGAGTTTGGATCCAAATTCCTCAGATATTTAGCTGTATCCTCGCGAATACGCAAATTTCGCACAGTAATCCGCTGTTTGGAGTCCACTTTTGTGCCCGGCATGTCCACTTCGTCAACGTATTTGTCCTCGTTGCCCTCCTCGTCAGAGATCTCCGCATCGGGGTCTGATTAGGATGGATAGAATGTTAGAAGCTATCGATTGAAGTAAGTAAATGATTGCCTTACCATTTTTAAGTTTTTCAGCTTTTAGCTGCCGCTTGGCTTCCTCCACTTTTTCGTACTCTTCGACAATCTCCCGATGATTGGCCGGATCGTAGGAGCTCCAGCGATCGCGTTTCTCATCATAGTTGATGGAGGCTTCGCTCACGATGTGCTCGTCGTGCACCACAATCGACTCTGCATACCTCGCCTGCACCTTGCGCGGCCGCTCCAGGCAATCCTTCTTCTTGTGCGTCATGGCGCCGCAGTTCTCGCAGGCGCCCTTCCGGAACTTGGTCACAATTCTGGTGGTGTCCAGGCCCTTCGGTGCCCGCTTGTCCAGCTGGCCCTGCTCATCCTCGTGCTGTGGTCGCTGATGTTTCAGTGTGGGCCCCTGGGTGCCATAGTACCAGGGTGCATTGGATATGTACTGCGGAATGTGGGGATTGATGTCGCGACCCTCCTCATCGACGGCGGCTGGTGCTGTACCCGCTTTTCTCGCCTCCTCCAACTCCTTCGCCTTGCGCCAATCCTCGCGGGACTTTTTCTTTGGCTCCTCCTCGGCATCCTGGTCAGCTTTGTTGTTGATTATCTGCGAGACGGGAGTACGCACCTGACCCGAACTCATCGTGGATTTGGTGATTGTTGTGTGTTTGTTGTTGTTTACGGTATCGTAATTTAAGCCAAAATTCGGTTTTTTTATCCACGGCCCCGAGATCAGTGTGACTGACCCTCAGAAATATACCAAAATATACCGTCTCATTTTCAAAATATACCGTAAATATACCCACAAATTATTTGAAACGTACAGATTTCCCTTTCAGGTGTCGCTTTGGTAATTACATGAAATGTAGTTAATATGTAGCGAATGGGTAGTTAGCGTGTAGTGACCATGTAAAGAAATGAGATTAGTGGAAATTGTCTACAAAATTTGAATTTTAAATACAATCAAATGCAATAAAAAGGAGTTATGAAAATTTGCTAGTGTATTAGAAAGTGGATTGATCGATCGGATAAAAAGTAATATTCAAAAACGATGAAATAATATGAAACTGGATACAAATAATTCTTCAGTATATTTACGGTATATTTTGAAATTTGTGACGTATTTTGGTATATTTCTGAGGGTCAGACCGTATACTTGATCAATAAGTCCGCGGTCACACTGTGCACGACACGAATTAATTCGACGAAATTCCACCCACCCACCCCAGCAATGCACTATTGTCAGGAAAGGAAAATGTTGGATACGTGATTTAGGGATTCGCGAAAAGCCAGAAAAAACAAAGAAAATTCCTTAAGATACAACCAATTTCAACTGTGCAAACAGGGTGCGTGTGCGTGTCCGTGCATCTGTTTCTGTGTCTGTGTATCTGTGTGTGTGGGTTCTAGTGTCAAGGCATCCTTAATTTTTTCGCACACATAGCTCAACATTTTTTCTCTAATATACCAACAATAGAGAGAGAGAAAAAGAGAGGGAGGGAGAGAGCGCCAGAAAGAGAGCGCCAGCAGCAACGCGGAGAGAGCAAAGGTAAGGTAATTGAGGTGTAATGTAACGTAATGTAAACGCGCTCGCTCTCTTCTATTTTCTCTCACCCACACCAACGCGCACACTCAGATTCGCCTTCGTTTTTCCCAATTAGAAAATTACAAATTTTCCAATTGAGTTTTCTAATATTAATCCGGATTCAACACTAATTCTAATTCTATGCGATGTGAAATCCGGACCTGTAAATCGCGTGCGCCTCTCCAATCTTGACTGCGTGTGTGTGTGTGTGTGTGTGTGTGTGTGTGTGTGAGTGTATTGTTGGTGCTGGAATTTTTGTGTGTTGGTGTGATGCTGCTGCTGCTGTCTTGTGTGTCTTGTAGTAGTAGGTAGTGGGTGGCGATAGGGGTAGGGGCAGGCATTAGGATTGCTTGTTATTATTTCTTTGTTGTTTTATCTCTGAAAAAATAGCTTCTCTTCTTCGATGTGGTGTGTGCCCATACCGAATCCGTCGTACATGCATTAAAAACAATTTGCATAAAAAAAGAGAACAAACTGCCATCAAAAGATGTAAGACCTAATCAAAGCTAAATTGGAGGCACCTTGAGAAAAACAACTTGTTCCCCTTCCAAAAATTCTTTAGAATTAAATCGTTTCGGGAGCATGTACTTATTATGAAACGTTTCTTTTCCTGTGGATTTGCCTCAATTAAAGCGACGCTCTACAGTTATTATACGATACGATACGATCAAAACGAAATTGCGACAGATTGAAAAAGTTGTGCAAACACTGCATCCGCTGACTCCTTGGAATGATAATGATTTATGTGTGGATGTGAGGTGGGCAGGGGGGAAATATTACCACAACAGATGATGGTCGTGTACTATTTTCGATTTTCTGTTTCATGGACTGTTGTCGTTTGAGCGATTGCCTAATGCCCCCCAAGTGAATGCATATATCTACATAATATATGTATGTACATATGTATGTATATACCGTAGTGTGTATGTAAGAGTGGATTCCATCAATGTGAGGGCGGCCTTGGGAGTAAATCGGGTGTACCGTGTATAGCATTATATTTATGAGTGTCAATGACCTACACTAACATTCATTGCCCCATAGAGAAAGTTCTGAACGTCACTCGGTCATTTCATTAATAAATTCTTATCTGATCTTGCAATTTCAGATCAGCCACAGACCCAGACACACACCCACACACGACCACAGAGTGGTTCCTGCTGTTCTCTTAACCAAACCACCGCCGCTGCTGACTCACAAGACGCAGTCCGTCAGCTGCTAGCCGGGATCGTTGCAATTAAGATTAACCCCCTCTCCAGAGACCAGAAAGCCAGAACGGGGGAGAGGAGCTGAATCTTCAAAAGGATCAAGGGTCAAGGGTCGAGTCAAGCAAGGGCAAACGGGGGCAATGACTATGTTTACGGGCAAGCTGCAGATCAAGGTGTGCGAGGCGAGCGGCCTGCGTCCGACAGATTTCCAGAAGCGCCACAACCTAACGTTCGGCAAACTAGCCGATGAGCAGCTCATTGATCCCTACGTCTCGATAGATGTCGACGAGAGTCACTTTGGTGAGCTAAAGCCCCAGCCCCACGCCCCCATTGACGATCCCGTACTAATCTCCCTGCATTCTTAGATCGATCCACCACACGCCCAAAGACATTCGATCCTGTCTGGAATGAGCAGTTCGTGCACGATGTCAACAATGCCAAGAACATCAGCTTGACCGTCTTTCACGATGCGGCCCTGCCGCCGGATGATTTTGTGGCCAATGCCATTATATCGTTCGAAGATCTTATGCAGAGCGAGACAGGCGCTCCAGATCTATGGGTGAGTCTTAACAGAACCTTTTTAATGCATCTGTATAACATTTATGACTGTTTGCAGGTCAACCTGGAACCACAGGGGAAGATCCACATCATCATTGAGCTGAAGAAATGCAATGGTGGGTGTTCGGGGGTGGTTTATAAATTCCTAAGCATTTCCCAGATGTAACGCTTTCTGTCTTTTCTTTAGATCAAGCCAAAGCCGAGGCCGAGGTGGAACGCACTGTGGCCGTCAATAAGGAGTTCAAAGAGCGCGCTGGCTTCAATCGCCGTCGTGGCGCCATGCGACGTCGTGTGCACCAGGTGAGTGTCCCTCAGAATTCTTTGGAAGGCCTCTGATACTGAACTTTGCGAATATCTCTTGCAATTCCAGGTGAATGGTCACAAGTTCATGGCAACATTTTTGCGTCAACCCACCTTCTGTTCGCATTGTCGGGAGTTTATCTGGTAAGTGGAGCGCTCCGCTCCGGCCCTGGCCGGCACACATAATCGTACAATATCCGTAACGTACTCACCGTACTCAGTCGTACAGGGCTGAACATCTACCGTACCATAATTCCTAAGTTGTATTTGCAGTGATTAATATCTACATAAACATGCATATAGTTTCGGGAATTATTTGATTTATCCACACACCTATCTCTCCACTCTCTCTCTCACACACCATCTCTCTGAAACTATTTATGATTTGATTTGAATCGATTTTAGTTGATCTTATTTCTATGTTCTTAATGTATCATCCCCTCATCACTCGCCTCTGGGTCTTTTATGCAGAGTTTTTTGATTTTCTATTAGCTATTTATTGTTTCCATTGACATTAACCCTGGTTTCTATTCAAGCGGGTCTCGGGTCTCATTTTAAAAGCTGCTTTTGGGGTCAGGAACTCATGAACAACAGCCAATGCTTGATTTTCTTTTGGGTTTTCCACTGGCGGTTCTTCATTCATGCACACACCACATCACATCACATCAAACCACAAACACACACACACACAAACCAACACACTCTTCATTCAGTTACCAAAAAAAATATATATACATACAATAGCCATGGAATTTCTTGCCTTTTTGCAGGGGAATTGGTAAACAAGGCTATCAATGTCAAGGTATGTGTTTTGCTTCAAACTAAACGGAGACCAGAGCCAACGGGTCCTCCTGGGTCCCTGGGTGCCCTGGTGCTTTGGAGCCTTGGAGCTCTAGGAGTGGAGAGCCTTCAACAAGCTCCGCTCCCCATTATCCATATCACTTTGCATTTGCTTGTTACGTTCGTTATTCGTTGTTCGTTACTCATTTTATTCGTTGTTTGCTGTTGTCGTTGTCCATGTTGTTGTCGTTGTCGTTGTTGATGTTTTTGCTATTCGATTGAAAGAACAATAGCATCTGGATATTGTTCGTCTAGCTGCATTATTACTTATGTACAATATTGTTTTATTCTACCTTATGAAACAAAAGGGATAAATGCCTTTATTGATTGGATGTGGATGCACGTTCAGCATTGTCCATTCTGGACTCTGCCATGGATGCATCGTTCACCTGCTCGTTCACATCCTGTCCACTCTCTATCTCTCCCTCTCTTCGGACAGTTTGGTATCCTGGCACTAGTCCTGTCCGCTCTGCACCTCTACTAATCGATTGGGTTGCCATCACATTGCATTGTCCTTCATTTAGCAACAAGATAATGAACTGAACGTCCTGCTATACTAATTTGTGTGTCTGTCAGGATAAGTCTGTCGTAATTGTAACCCATCTTCAAGTCTTTAGGGCCTATATATTTATATTTATACTGGGATCTATTCAGCTTGCCAGAAAGAGAAGCAACTATCATATTATCTTTTATTAGCATCAAAATGTTCCACGTTCGTCTGTCTATCTATTTTATCCCCATCTTATATTGCATGCCTTAAATATTTAGAAAACGTTAGGAAACTTCTGTTCTAGATAACTTTTGTTGGGAATTTTCGAAGGATATTCAAAGCTTCGGATCCGCCGAAGAAGGTCCCACTATCTTATGTTACTTTTTTCATTTATTCCTGTCAAATAAAAGCCTTATAAAAGTTTTATTTTGCTTTCGACATCTGCCCGAAGCATCTGAATGTTGTGATTAAAAATTTTTGTGTACACCTGAACGAACACTAATTGGCGCACAGGCATAGGCACAGGCACAGAGCACTCAAAACTGAAAACTGAAAACTCAACTAAACTTCACCTGACCAACACACACAACATGTGATTAATCAATTCTGCACCAAAGAAATCGCACAATTACTCAGAGATTACGACTAATTACATATGCTATGCCCTCTCAATGGTGATATTCGATGGAGAGGAGAGTGCTAAAATCGCATTGAATGCCATCATCGAGAGCCT